ACGAGCGGCAACCCCCGTCAGATGGTCGAGAGCCTTCGTCGAGCGCAGTTGTAGATGCATCACAGTCGCCTGACGGTATTGCTCGCAAAGACATATGATACGCCCGACCACACCGTCGTGACCGCAACGAGCCATCTGGTCGTGCTATGAGCCTGATATCCCTACGGACAGTAGCTGACGTACTGGAAGGCCAAGAGAGGCGAAGCAATGTCGTACGGCAGCAGAGGGTGGATAGTTGTGACGCCCATGAGCAGCAGCTGAAGTACGGTGTTGTACTGCGCGGGCATCAGCTGAATGNAAGGCAGTGCACGCGCCATAAATGACCTTGCTGATTTGCGTTGGCTTAATCTCGGCAAAGGGCTTCGAGAGATCCCAATATCGCCTGAAAGTCCGCTGTGATGGGCACGTCAGATTGGCAAGTCTCTCACTCAACGACGTACCGGAGGCGCGAGCGTCTGCCAGCGATAGTAGAATGATCGCAGCGCGAGTGCAATGTCGCGTCCGAGGATGAGAAAAGCCAGTGGCGCTGGGGGGCGAGACATGAGCTCATACTGGCCGATGTGCGTCAAGCAGACTGACCGGGTAACAGTCCGCGTGCGGTCAGCGATACGACGAGTGTGGTCATGAGGATCTTGTCGGCAGCAGGATCGAGTATACTGCCAANAGCGCTACCCATGCCCCATCGTCGCGCCAGCCATCCGTCGAGCTGTGATGCGACTCAGCGCCATGCAAGCGAGATCATAAGATTGCGCACGCCATCTGTGATGCCTGCGTATGCGAGCAGAGCGGTTGCGTACTTCAAGTCGCCTTGTATGATGAAATATCCTAGCAGAGGGCACGATGCAATGCGCGAAAGTGTGAGGATGTTGGGCAGCGTGTTGAGCCGGGCCAGCAGAGTGCCTTCGTCTGAAGTCTTACGTTGTAGCGGTCCCTGTGATGGGCTAGTCGAAGCAAAGCTGCGACGCTCCTTCCATGACAGTCCACATTGCAACAGGCGAATACCAACGGCAGGCTGACGACGTCGTGGCATGACTTGT